AGAAGGACAGAGAGAAGGAAGACCTCCAGTGGGGGGAGGGGCTACTGTCTACAGACGTCACATGCAACTCCTGGAACGATTCCATCAGTGCTGCCTCCAGAAAATCCTGCACTACAAATAGGAATTCATTCTTTCTTTTTTTTTCAAATTATAATCCGGCCCTCCAAAAGTTTGAGGGACTGTGACCAGCTGGCCCTCTGTTTACAAAGTTTGATGACCGCTATAGACCTCCAGCAGGGGGAGGGGCTACTGTCTACAGACGTCACATGCAACTCCTGGAACAATTCCGTCAGCACTGCCTCCGGAAAACCCTGCAAATCTCCTGGGAAGACAAGCGGACAAACGTCAGCGTGCTGGAGGAAGCAAAGACCACCAGCATTGAAGCGATGGTCCTCCAACATCAACTCCACTGGGCCGGCCACGTTGTCCAGATGCCTGACCACCGTCTCTCAAAGCAGTTGCTCTACTCCGAACTTAAGAACGGAAAACGGAACGTTGGTGGGCAGGAAAAGAGATTGAAAGATGGGCTCAAAGCCAACCTTAAAATCTCTGGCATAGACACTGCGAACTGGGAAGGCCTGGCCCTTGAGCGCTCCAGCTGGAGGTCAGCTGTGACCAGCAGTGCTACAGAATTCGAGGAGGCACGAGTGGAGGGCGAAAGAGAAAAACGTGCCAGGAGGAAGGCGCATCAAGCCAACCCCGACCGGGACCGCCTTCCACCTGGAAACCAATGCCCTCACTGAGGAAGAAGATGCAGAGCAAGAATAGGGCTCCACAGCCACCTACGAACCCACAAGGAAACGCATAATGGAAGACCATCTTACTCGTCCAACGAGGGATCGCCTAAGTGAAGTGTTCTAGGCACTGTCAAGCCATGGTATGCTAATCAAGGTGGTCAGCTGAAACATTCACCCCTAGCTCCAGCAGACAAGAGTCCTTTGTCCCACCCTGGTCATTCCACAGATATATAAACCCTTTTTCCTACTTTCAACAGATCTCACTACCTCTGAGGATGCTTGCCATAGATGCAGGCGAAACGTCAGGTGAGAGCCATTCAAATCCACAAGAAGCAGGTGGACAATTTCAACAGGAAGGAGGAGACCATGAAAATGAACAAAATCTGGCTACCAGTATTAAAAAAAAACTCTAAAATTACAACAGCAAAACAGCAGAGAGGAAACAACCAGGCACATCTTAACACCTCTCAACAAAAGATTCCCCCAGGCTCAGCCAGGCCTTTCAATGCTAATGCAGGTGGTGAGTTGAAACATTCACTTTTGCCTCCAGCAGAGAAGAGTCCTTTGCCCCACCCTGGTCATTCCACAGATATATAAACCTCTTTTCCTACTTCCAACAGACCTCACACCTCTGAGGATGCTTGCCATAGATGCAGGCGAAACGTCAGGAGAGAATGCCTCTAGACCATGGCCATATAGCCCGACAAAACGTACAACAACCCAATCCTTCGAGAATACATTCTATTCAGCCTGGAGTTGGCTCCTCTCTCTAGAGACCGGGGCGGGGGCGGGGGCGGGGGGGGGGGCTGCAGGTCCCATGGCCGCTGAGGAGGGACTCTTTGGAGCAGGCCTGCCCCCTCCCCTCCCTCCCTCCCTCCCTCCCTCCCTCCCTCGAGGTGTTTCCCTCAATTCTCCTCAGAGCCGGGCGGGGGGGGGGAGGTGGAGGCTGCGGGGAATGCTGGGAGCTGTAGTTCAAAATATAGGGGGGGCGGAGCTTAGAGAGAGAGAGAGAGTGAGGGAGAGAGAGAGAGAGAGAGAAGCCAGCCAGAAGCCCCTCAGTTCCGCCGAGGAGAGTCAGTCAGTCAGCCCCCGACTGAGGGGAAGGGAGGGAGGGAGGGAGGAGTCAGGCCCGGGTGATTGACAGCCACCCTCCCCCCCCCCGTCTCCCGCCTTCCCGCCAAGAGCGGGCTCTGCTGAGGCGAAGCCCCGCCCCTTCCCCGCCCTCCCATTGGCCGAGCCCGTGGCGCTGAGGGAGGGAGGGAGGGAGGGACCGCCGAGAGCACGCCTGGGGGAGAGTGCCAGAAGCAAGGCCCGGATCAGCCTCCCTCTCTCTCTCTCTCTCTCTCTCCCGCCTTCCCGCCAAGACCCATTCGAGGAGAAGCGGAGAGCAGGCCTGGGGGAGAGTGCCAGGAGCAAGGCCCGGATTAGGCCCCTCCCCCCCGGGAGAGATATACACACCTCTCTCTCTCTCTCTCTCTCTCTCTCGGCTTCACGCGACCCCTGAGGCCCGTCCGGAACAAGCCCCTCCCTTTCTCGCCTCCCATTGGCCGATCCCGTGACCCTCCACTGCCCGCAGGACTCCCATTGGCTCTCCGGGTTTGATCGACGGGGTGCAAGGAGGGGGCGGGGCCAGAAAAAAGGCGGCCTCTGAGGGAAGGAAAAGCAGGAAGGAAGGAAGGCCGCCTTCTCCCTCGGAGGGAGTGACGTCACTCTCCCCCTCCCTCCCCCTGCAGCCGGCCTCCTCCCATTGGCTGCGTCCGTGAAGCCCCGCCCCCCCGCCATTCGCTCGCTCTCCGGCTTGGCCTGAGAGGCTGGAACGAACCAAGGCGGGCGGGCGGGCGAGTAGGAAGGAGGGAGGCCGGCCTAAGGAGGGGCCGGTCCCCGC